TACATGTGTAATGTCTCCTTGTACTATAAATAAAGACGTCCAGTTCATCTGGGCGGCACAAGTTGCTTGGGCTACCTAGGCTCAGGCTGCCTGTGTCCGTTTCCACTCTATCTTTTTGTCTCATTTTTTTCTGCTTCTTCCATAATAGCGCTAAGCCTGGGGGCGGACGCCGACATGTATGCTGTAATGATGTACAGTGAAAAAAAAAAAAAAAAGAAGTCTAACAAGCGACCTCAATTTGTGGAATGAAACTAAGCAGAAAAATTCTATGAAGACGTGTGAATTCAATAAACTACACAGGTTTTTGTTTGTTTGTTTGGAGAGAATTTTGCCATAGGGCATGTGCACTCTCCAGAAAGACAGAGAGAGACAGAGACAGAAAGCGAGAAATCAGCCCCAAGGGAGAATGGCCATACTGCTAATCCCTTCTCCTCCATTCTCTTCTTGGGAGTTCAAGCCACCAGGTCTGGGACTCGAACTGAAGTCAACTACATTGGAGTCCAGCAACATAGCCATTACGCCAACTGCTGGTGCCAACTACAAAGGTATTTTATAAGCTTCTATGTAAATATTTATCTTAGACTAGCCTATTCCACAAGCAATAAATTTTGTCTCATATTATAAGAAAAATTATGTGAATGGGTAGGATGGTAAAAAGGGACCACAGAAAATAAAATAGCAAAATATTTTACTTTAGAGTCCTATAACAGTATGTATCCAAGGGCCTGGAGATGACATAGTGGTTAACTCACTGGATTCCCATATGGTCAACCGCAGTTTGAGTCCGAGACCCAGGGACTTAACACTCACACTGGATGCATGTGCTTGCCCAAGATCCCAGGAGGAGAATAAGGGATTGTGGCATGGCCATTCCCACTGGGGGTTATTTTTCACTTTCCCTCTCCCTGTCTCTTTCTTTGATAAGTGCCTGTGCTCATGGCAAAAATCTACAAAAAGAAAAAGAAATATGTATCACACATGTATGGCTCACTCACTCCAAATCTTCATACCACAAGAGTCACATGATCATCATACATACTTATATTTCAAATTATTAAGAAACACTTGCCAACATTTCAATGTCTTCTGTTTCTCAACATGTATTCCTTTCTAGGCCTTTAGGATTCAAGACTCATACTCCTCAACTCAGCTCACAGTTCCTTGATGAATATGTCTAGTATCACACAAAAATACATGAAGTATGGCTAAATATGATTCTTTTTTAAAAATAAACTTTTAGAAATCAATTTCTAAAAATTAAACAAATATAAGTACACTTATCAGAATAATGTTGTGTATATAATGATAATAATAGCTTAAATGTATTGAGCACTTAATATGTATCAAACATTAAACATTTTACATACATTATCATATTTAATCTCAAAACAATTAAATCAAATGAAATTATTATTCCTATTTTTCAGATAAATAAATGAGAGTCAAAGTAATAAAGTACATTGCCCAAAGTCATAAAACTAGTATCTAATTGTACTAGGATTTAAACTCAAGCAGTCTGAATCTAGGCTCTGTATTCTTAAATAAAGTGTTTTACTGCCACACAATCAAACACCTTGACTGACAAATTCATAATAAATACAAGTACACTGGGAGCAGACTAATTTATTACTTTATGACTAACCCTGTAGTCTGGGTTTTGTCCCATGAAAGTGATTAATGTATTCATTCTCCTGATCTACAAAAGGAGATTGCTCCATGTATACAACAACTGTCTATCCAATTTATCCTTATTCTCTAATCTCACCTCTCGCTTTGCTCTTTTTTCTGGTTTGAACCTCACACTGCTCACATGACTCACTTATGTGCTTGTATAAAATGTAACTTACTACATCACTGCATTTATTCATATATTCATGTTTTAATCACATTATTTCTAGAACACCTACACTAAATATTTTTGAATTATGATTCTTTGGACTAGTTATTTTACTTTCCTTATCCTCCATTTCTTTATATGTAAAATAGGCATAGTAATAGCTACATCAAAGGAAATTGTGAGGATCACATAAAATAATGCAAAATGCTCGCAATGATGACTTGGTACACAGAGCCCAGGGCCCTGTTATACAGTAATAGTTGTATTTTTAACACAAAAACTGAGGTTTTCCAGAATTACATCAATACTTACTTGTAAAAAGGGTTCATCAGGCTTTTCATTTCCCCTGTGAAGGCCTTCCTACTAAAAAGCTATTTAAAAAAATAGTCTAAGTGGGACCAGCAATTAGCGTAATGGCTATGTCGCTGGACTCCCATGTAGTCAACCACGGTTCGTGTCCCAGTCCCGGTGGCTTAAAACTCATGCTGGGCGCATGTGCGTGTGTGCCCAAGATCCCAAGAGGAGAATGGAAGAGTAGAGATTGTGGCATGACCATCCCCCCTGGGGGGTGATTTCTCACTTTCTGTCTCTCTGTCTCTCTCTGTCTGTCTGGCGAGCGCACGTGCCCTATAGCAAAAAAAAAAAAAAACCCTCTCCAAAAAAAAAATAGTCTAAGCATTTCTGTTTTGTTTTGAGCAGAGCTCTATTTCTAGTACAAGGGAGTGAGGCTTCCAAATAAGAGAAAATTATAACAGAAGAACTAGAAGGAAAAGGACACCACTTTAGCCAAAAACATACCTCCTCTTGAGATTGACCAGAGTCACATTGAGGAAGACTCAGTCGTAGGCTCTTATGTCGGCGAATGAGAATTTCCTTTGCCTCTTCTGCTGCTTCTGTTTCTCCTGGAAGAGTGTATCTACTATATGTTGGCACCTAGTCAAAGTACACAACACAGAAATTTCAGAGTTTAAGTGTCAATAATGCACAATTTTAAAAATTAGTAAATTGCACTTATTCCTAAGTGAAATAAATATAAACCATTGCTGTGTCAAAGGTATTAGAGTTCTTCAAAGATTAAAACTGTATAGA